AGTCCGAAGCGTCGGTAGCGATAAAGTACTCGCGATAGCTCCTCCGCCTAGCGTACAATCCGCTATACGCTAATTGCCCGATACGCCTACCTCCGTACTTAAAGAGAGTTCTAAATATTAACTAGCTAGTAAAGGCCGTCTACCCTTAGGAATTAATAAAGGCTTCGTACGTCGATCGAACTACGCTACGTAGGCGCGTACTCCTTACCGTATATAACGACGTAGCGGATTAGATTAATAACTTCTATAATAGTATATTTAGGAGCGGAGAGGCGTATAAGTATTACTCTAAAGACTACGTCGATTAGGCGGCGTCTAAAGCGCTCGAATAGTCGGGAGTCGAGGAGAGTATATCTACTATAATATCCCTACTCCGGCTGCCTAGTCTACTACCGGCCCTCTTACGCTTAAAAGTCGGAACGCTAGTTACTATTATAAGAAACCTAATCCTATATAAGGGTATCTGCAACGGAACGTATATAGTAGTAACGTCGCTCTACGACTATAATATCGCGGTATATAAGCTTAACGACGAGTATAACGACGCCGAGTACCTTATTCTATATATTAAATTAATCGAGAGTAGAAGGTATCCGTAGGCGATCTCTAGGCGCTAATTTCCGTTAAAGGTATACTACGCGATAACGATTAATAAAGCGTAGGGTTAAACCCTCGACAATATTAGTATAGACCTTCGAGCGTTACCCTTCTTATATAAACAGCTATATATAGCGATATCGCGCGTAATAGATATTCGAAACCTGTTCGTACTAGTAGATAAGGAGTAGTACCGTTCGATAGACCCGTAGTATAAAGGCAGTCGTTACGTAGCGGCGTAAGAGTATAGACCTATTAGGAAGAATAATAGGGGCGAAGACGTATACGGCGACGACTACTAGTTTAGGATTCCGGATCTAGTACTAACTAATCGCCTCTTCTACGAGACGTATAACGTCCGTTAGCCCGGTATTAGTATCGCGGTTCCGGCGGAGTTAGCGGTAATCGTAAATCGTATTCTAGACGAAGAGCGAATTTTTACTAGCCTCGGTTTGTAAGAGAGCGGTATTAATCCGCTACTCGAAGTTATATAGTACAGGCAAGGATATATCGGCGAAGATACAGATAGCGTAGATAGTAGCGATACGTCTAAGGATATAAGTTAAAGACTGTTACTATAAAACATATAGGTAGTCTTAGAAAATAGAATAGTTAATTATATATAATTATACAGGGAGGAGATTACTTACTTACTCGCGGTATAAATTACCTTTTACTACCGACGTTAGAATTCTACCTTCGCTCCTCCTTCTTCTCCGTACTCTATATACTATATCTAAATCGTACTCCGCGGCGTCGCTACTATCTTTAATCGACGGCGTAGACTATCCCGGAAATCCTAGGATTCTACCTAGCTTACAATTTACGCTAATCGAGGGTTACGATTACTCGAAAGCGTTCGCCTAAGCTATTTTAAACGCGTACGAAAGTGGCGAGATCCGGGGTTTATAAGATATATATAGCGCGTACGCTCGGCGAGTACTCGTAGGAGAAGGGCGAGATATAATATTTCGGACTAAATATATCGCGTCGCTTAGGGGAAACACTTAGAATAGCGCCGACATTCGAGTATAGAGAGGCGCTTTCATCTATATTCTTAGGATAGACGCGGACTAGTATACTATCGCCGGCTATATATAGTAGACGGATTGCAACTACTATATATATAGCGGGCATTTCGTAGGCTATAGATATAGCTATACTATTACGAAGAACAGGAACTATATAAATTGCGTAGCGTTATACAAACCGAAGCGGTGCTCGTGCTACTAGGCGCAATCTAGAGAAAGTAAGCCTGCGGCAGACTATTCTAACTTATAGTTGCTATACTAATATATATAGGATCTCCGATACGTAGGAAACGGTAGAGATCGGATAGCGAGAAGCGTAAGGGGATAGTAGGGCGGTAGTAAGAAAATAATTCTATTATTCTTAACCCGAAATGCCTTATTCCTATCGAGAATAAGCTCCCTACGCTCGGTCTATTCGTACGGGATATTATTCCCGCGTTTTAAGACGGCTACAATTCTAAAGAAATCTTTAGATCTATTCGGAAACGGCTTATCGACCTTTACGACTATGTCCTTAATATAGAAATCTATTAGACGTGCTAGTATACGGGACTGCTACTCGAAGAGGCGCGTAATAGGAGGCGTAAGACTACGGCGACCGCACTATTAAGGATCTTAGCGGTCGAGAATTTCGACGTACGGGACGACTAAGATCGAAAGGTCGTATAAGTACTATATAAAGATCTTAACTATATACTCTATAAGCGGAATACTAATAGTATATACCGAACTATTAGCGCTAATAAAGCGTTAAACGGTCGGTAGAGAGCCTACGAAGAACTATAGAGCTATAACAGAGGAGTGCGATAAGCGCGTAGATAGGAATAAATTTCTCTATTCGGGAGGAGGGCGATAGACGACTCTAGAGCGCGATTTCGAAAGGCTTAGACGGCGTCGCAAATAAGGTAAGTCGTAGTATAGAATATCTCTAAAGAGGGGTTACGAAAACAACGATAGGCTTATAGAGTAGTAGTAGGGGGGCAAAGAGATTCTTACGAGAGTAATAGAGCAAGTACGTAGAAGAAGAGAGATAGTAAAGTTAAGAAGACTTGAATTTTTATATATATTTCTCGGGCTAGCTCGACGCTACCTACTCTATTTTAGCTCTCTAGTCGCTACCTTAGATACTTAGTAGGTAGCGATAATAGCTACTTCTAGTATATATATCGCAGATTAGCGACGAGGTCGGCGTTAATAAAGGAGTAGCGGAGGACGCGTTACTAATAGTCCTCGATCTACGCGAGGTTAAGATATAGTATATCGTAGGCGCGTAGCTATTCGGCGATAATAAGCTACTAACGAGTCTATTAGTTAGCTAGACCGTAGCCGGGAGTATAGATACTAGTACCTAAGAGGCCGGTCGAGTATAGAGGCAACTAACGGAGAGAGTCGGTAAAGAAGTCGTTAGAGATAATGCCCGTAAAGTCGTATCGAATAGCAGGGTTCTAGTAGCCGGGCTAGTAGGTAACGAGGTTCGGGATATTTTAGTATAGGGTACGGACGTTGTTATATATAATGTCGACTTTGTTTATATTACGCAATTTACGCAGTCGAGCCGTAACGTAGAAGTTAACTAGGACTAGTAACAGTTAGCCGACTTTGTTTCTAAAGCGTCGAGCGCTACTAGATATACCTACCCTAGTTCTATAAGCCGGGAACCTATACGAAGGCAATAAACTTAGCGATACGGATAAAACGTAGGAGGCTACGTAGGTACTAGACGCTATTAATAACGTCGATAACAGGACCGTTCGCGCTAGAGAAAGTTATATCGTCGGAGTCTAGAGTAATAGGAGATAGGACGTAAGGAGAGCCCGAGCCCTAGCGAGAGCCGCTAGGAGTTCTAAGGTCGATTATAGCGCTGCGCGAAGAGGAGATAACCGACATATCGACTACGAGAGGTTAGCGCTAAATTTGCGTTATAGGCGTTATCGCTTACCGTTAATTAGTAACACGTTCTACTATAGCGTTGCTAGTAGGAGTATTAATTAAGGTAGGTATATAGAGGTAGAGGTAGTGCTACGTAGCGTTATTAAAGGCGTAGACGTAGTAGAAGGTTTAATAGTTGTTAGCCGATATTAGTCGAATTTTAAGCGATTAGAGCTTAGCGCGCGTAGCGTGACCGGCCTAGCCCGCCGTAATAGGAAATTCGCACCTGCGTAACTTATACGAAGTAAGGGCCGGTACGCCTAGATTTAATAGTAATAGCCGCGGCGCCTAGAAGTTATAATATTGTAAGACCCGCCGTCCGCGTCTGCGACGCGGACTAGGGACTAGTATAGAACGTTCTATAAATGTCTTTTTAGAACAGGTCTACGATACGATATATTTTTCTAAAAAAAATACTAAGACTTTTATCGTAATCCGAATTTTAGAAGAAGAAGTATTATAAGATTAGTATCTCGACGATTAAGCGTCTATATAGGCTATAGTAAGATCTATAGCAATTATACTAGATTTTACTATTTAGCTTAGAAGTAAAGCGAGTATTTATAGACGTCTACTTAATAAAATAGGATAGACTAAAAATACGTCGTAGGAAGTATAAAGTCCTAGTATTCTTAGCCTTTTCGTAGAATATAGTATCCTAACTATAATAAAATTAGCTATATATTCCTAAGAAAGGGATTTACTATATACTATAAAGTATAGGCGGTTAACTACCTATATTAATTTTTAAGATCCTATCGCAATAATTAATATATAGAAAACTACTATATAAACTTAGCTAGATAGTCTCGCTTCTTAAACAGGTTTCTAAAATACAAAGAATTCTTCGCGTAGTAGTATCGGCTTATAATAAAGCTCTAAACTTAAGAAACCGCCGGGATACGAAAGCGTACTTATAATGTTATCCTTAGTATAGTAGTCTTATATAGATACCTATCGTATATTATCGCTCGTTTCCTAGATTAAAATAAAGACCTATAGAGAAATTCGATAGGAAGAAAACTTATATCGAGATTCTACTATATTCTCCTAGTATACTATTTTAAATATTTTATAAAGTTAACGCTAAAGTCGAAGTCGAAGCGTAGTAGCCTACTAGTACTCGCCTTTCGGTTCCTCGCTATATCGAAATTATATAGCTATTTTTTTTAGTAGATAGATAGATAGATTACGGTAGTAGTAATAATAGTAGTAATAATAGCAATTCCTCGAACCTTATAAAAAATCTTCTTTAAAAGTATATTATATAGTAGATAAAAAGAACTATAGTCTATATCTATCCTTCCGAGTCTTTACTATATAGCTTACTTATACTTCTACTCTATATAAAAAAGATAAATTTCTTCTCTCGCTAACAACCGATATACCTTCCCCTAACGCACTAAGTAAAGAAAGCAATACTATAGTCCCTTTTCTAAAAGTAGATAAAAAGAAAGTACTAGTACTATCTGTCTTAAAAGACTACAATTCCCTTTAGTAGGAGTTAACTCCCTTGTCTCCCTCCTCCTCTCTCTTAGACACAGAGACAAGAATTTCCTTTTATCTAGATACACATTCCTTATCTCACCTTACCGTACATACACATATCCAATTCCTTCTTTCTTTCTTTCTTTCTCCTCCTTTCTTTCTACCTACACACCAACTCAACGCCATCCATCCCATCCTATCCCATCCCATCCTATCCATCCATTAACCAAAATTAGCTTTCACATCCATCCAAGCAGCAAAAAAGTTACTAAAAAAGATTTGTTCTCATGCAAAAAAAAACACAACACCAGCTCAGTATCCAGCCTGCCAAAAATCCTGCCAACAAAGGGAGTATATACGTATTCGCCGCAAGATTAAGATCTCTCTCTCTCTTCTGTAAGTGATTTGATAGATAGTAATGCAAAACAAGAAGAGGTAAAGCCCGACCAATCCAGTCCATACCCAAACACCTTCCTCTTCCTCACGCAACCTCCTCCTCAGCCCACCCCGGAAGTCCCCCTTCCGAAACCCCCAGTCCATAACCCCCAGCAGGCGACAAACCGCTTCCCAGCCCATACAAGCCGCTCTGTTGAGCCTGACTCTGCTGAGCTTGTTGGAGAGAGAAAGCCGGTAGGCTGACCGCACGGTTATGTGCGCTTCTGCTAGAAGTTTGACTCGCGTGGTTGGAGTAAGAGTTTAGAGCCTGCATGGCGCCGTTGGAGATGTTGACGCTTTGATGGCTTCCGTGGCCGAAATGGTTTGAAGGGGGTTCGAGACCGGCGGAGCGGGTTGCGGCGACTTCGTTGGGGGAGGAGTAGAAGGCTTGTTGGCTTGAGAGGTGGGAGGCGGAGGTTGGTTGGGATTGTTGGTAGGTGTTTACTGAGAGGCCGTAGTCGTTGACGGGGCTTAGGTTGCGTTGGAGCTGGGCGGCCTGTTGCGCTTGCTGTTCTGCTGCGACTTGAGCGCTTTGTTGTGTTGCTGCGAGGTAGAGGGTGAGGGGATTGTTGTTGCCGGTGTTGAAGATGGTGGAAGCGGTTGGACCGTTCAATGGGTTGAAAGTGCCATTCGATGGCCCGGAGCTGGCGGGGGAAATGGAGTTTTGGGCTCGGTTTGGTGCCAGACCATTGATTGGAGATTGCGAGCTTTCGCTTGCCTGCTGCTGCTGCTGCTGCTGCTGTGCTTGCTGCTGTATCGTCTGGCTGTTGATGATTTGTCTCGGTGGGTTTCCACAACGGTCCTTGCCAAAGTTGACTTTGAACCGCTTATACTCCTCTTTGCCTCGCACTGCCTCGATGGCCTTGATTGCGTTTGCGATGTTGGTGAAATTGACGAAAGCACAGCTCTTCTCGCGCAAGGTGTTGACCAGCTCAATCTCTCCGTATTCCTGGAAGTCCTGCCTCAAGCGATCTTCCGTCCAAGTCTCGTCCAAGTTGCCAATGTACACATTTCGCGATGCACCGCCCGAGACAGCCAGAGCAATCGCAGGGGGCAATGCTCCCGAGTGCTTGCCCCAGCCGATCTTGAGTCTTCTGTTGTGGATCATGAGACCCTGGAGATTGCTGAGTGCGTAGAAGGATGCCGCAGAAGTCGGGTCGATGAAAGTCACGAAGCAGATATGCTTGTCTGGAATGTATCGAATGTGGTGCAGCAGACCACCTCGCACGACATTGCATATTTCTTCGATCGTGGTCTCCGGGTGAATGTTACCCAGATACACCGTTCGGTTGCCCAGATTGTTGACGCCTCCTGCGGTCGTTGCAACCGCAGCTGCAGCGACAGATTGTTGAGCCAGAGCATTGGTAATGAGATCGCGGTCTGCGCCGTTCAAGACATGCGCATAGCCAGGCGCGATACCGAGATATTGCGCCGCATTCTGCTGCTGAGTCTTCGAAACGTACGCACAGCGATCCTTTCCGTAATACACACGGCGAGGCGCCTGCCATTTTGGCTCCTGGGGAAGCTGAGTGACGGCTTTGATAGCATTGCCAATGGACAGGAAATGTACAAAACCAATCGCTTTCTCCTTGACGATCTTCACGGTGTCGATTGGACCAAATTTGCTGAGATCTTCTCGCAGCTCCTCTTCGGTAATGTCTTCCTGAAGATTGCCCAGATAGACATTCCTCGACGCGCCAGACTGCTGAACAGCTAGAGCGACCGAGGTTGGCACCGAGGAAGGCTTGCCCCAACCAATCTTGATGTCCTGGGATTTGATGGAGAGTTTCTTGAGGATTGCATCGGAATGAAAGTGTGTCGCAGAGCTAGCATCGAGGAAAGAAATGAAGGCGCAGTTCTTGTCTGGCAACAGGCGAACAGACTCGATCTGGCCACTTCGAACATGGCCCAAGATCTCCTCGGCCGAGGTATCCGGGGGAATATTACCCAGATAGACAGTACGACTCGTTCCTGGCACGAGCCCTGGAGCCATGTGCATCGGGCCATATGCGCCCATGGCACCGCTGGTCAAGGCATTGAAGCCGGTTGTTGGAGACTGGATGCCAGCGAAGTAGGACGAAGCATGGAGTGCAGTTGGAGAAGTCATCGATTGATAGGCAGTCGGAGACAGGATGGCTTGTTGTTGATGGTAGGCATTGTTCATCTGGTTCTGCTGTTGACGCTGACCAGCGTGCTGCTGTGGGAAAGGCTGGAACTGCGGGGACTGAAAGGTAGACGGCGAACCGGGCTGAAAGGGGCTTCCGATCAATAAGTTGCTTGGTAGTAGAGGCGTGAAGTTCATATCGTAGCCAGTCTGCGGAGTCTGCATATCGGTGGCGGTGACATTGCTGCTCGCCATGCGACCGGTGTTGATGGGTTGCACACTGTTTCTGTTCGGGTGTCTCTCGCCATAGCCACCCAATGACGGTTGGGCTTGATGGATTGATCCATTTGGTGCCGCGTTATTTTCGGGGCTCATGGACGATTTCACTGCGAAAGACTGAGTCTGGCGATGCCCTAAGCTTGGTCCAGATGACATGGTGTCGCCGTTGTGCATGCCAAGCATGTGAGGCGGGAGCACAAGGCTGTCCCGCGGGTTTGCTGATAGTACGGCCGTGGTGACGGTATTGGAGGTCCGGTTCTACACAGACCGGACACCGACGTTGGGGAATAATGGTAGTTGCGAGGTGGTGCACAGACTTGCAAGATAGCGTGGTGGATGTCTCCAATTCTATGGTACCATATCAGCTGCGTCGTGTACGTTATGTCTCAACAGCACTGCAGAGGGTGTCGACGGAGTGCACATGGTTCGGTGGGCGGCTGAACTCACATGTTCTGGCACACAGCGAAGGTCGGTGAACAAAAGCAAGGGAAGACAATACAGATGTGCTTCCAAGAACAGCAGGAGTCAAAGAAAGGTGCTCTGCAAGTATCCAAGATATGTACACCGCGTCCTCTTTCTATGTTATGCCGTCGTCGGTCGGTTCATCAGGCGTTCGCTTTCGAGGAGGCGGACTTGCTCAACGGTGCTCGTAGGTAGGCGGAGATTATGGGCCGGTCGGTGTCGAGAAAGGAGGGTTGTTGGTAGGAGTCGGATGAGAAGCAAACAAAGAAAGGCAATGAATGGGTGGAAAGAAGCGATGGGAGAAGAGAGAGAATGGAAGAATGAGTGACAACGATGCAGCGAGCAAGACGCAGCGCCGGGATGGAGAAAGGAAGAAGAAGGGCCTAGCGAAATATCACAGACATGGTGCCGGCATGCAAACAGGAGTGTAGGGAGATGAGATGCTTCTCAAAAAGGGATGGTCATTCTGGAAAACACCCATGATGGGATCGGGCCGGCCCAGTTGACAAGAATAGGGCAATAATGGGATGGGGATGGGGATGGGGATGGGGATGGGGATGGGTATTGTGGAGAGGGTTCGCGTGCTCCGGCAGTGTCAGTGTCTTGACGGCGAGGTTCTCCATGCATGTGCGTGCTGGCGCGTAGATAACGTAGTCTTCTGCGACCTTGCGACCTGGCGCGAGAGCTCGTGAGTTGACTTCCGCCTTCCTGCAGACTGCAGGGCTCCCTCGCGCGAATCATGCTGCGGCTGCGCTGTTCCTGCGGGCAGCCAGGCGCTAAGCAGCATCTGTTGCATGACTCCCGGAAGCACTCTGAGTGCCTCTCCAGAACTACAATGCCTTGTGAGCTGCTACACTAGCATACTCTCCTGGCCTGCCTGGGAAGGAGTCCGAAGATGGCGAAGCTGTTCCGTGGAATTGCATCGTGTGGCTTTTGACGGCTGGCAAGCAAATTTCGATTCGAACCGTTCGCCTTCCTGGAAGACTCCGGGAGGCATGTCGATATTCTACATTGACGTCGGAGCACGCGTTGATGAGGTCTACTCACATCTGTGCGCCGGTGGCGGCAAGCACGCAGCCTGTTTGGCTGGCAAGAACGAAGGCGGCTTTCTTTACACGAGGAAACATTTGCAGAGAAGAATCTGCGCTCGACCTTCCTACTGTTGAGTAGTCGACGGGGCCAACGCTGTGATTCTGCAGACATGGTGCTGGACATGTCACAGAGAAGATAACATGGTAAGTGCTGACCTGCATACCCCGCGATAGGGCAGAAGGGAGCATGCGAAAGGCGAGACGATAAATGGTCGATCAACGTTGCCCGATTTTCCCACCAAGGAGTACGAACACCTACCTCTACGAAATCTGGGGCAAAGGCGGGATAGGCGTATTCTAATCATCGCGGGAAATCTGATGCTCAAGTACGATCGGAAACCCCATCCTCCCCGACAACCACGACGGCAGAGGCGAAGCATTCGAGAAAGTTGCAGAAAAGGCCAAAGCCAACGGATCACTGTTCATCGCACAGCTATCTCATCCCGGAAGACAAGGCTCAGCGGCATTGAATCCAAACCCCGTCAGCGCTTCCGACGTGCAGTTAAAGATAAATGACGAAGTGGTTTGGGAAGGACGAGTAGTGGAGGAGCTGTTTGATGCTTTGCTTCTTCTTTTCTACCGAAATTCTTTCCATTTTCAGCATGGCGGATGATCGTGAATCGCTTGGTGTGGCATTGATGAGCTTTGTACCAAAGCTTGTGCAGGGCATGAAATCGTTAAGGACACAGACACAGAATGGCTGCGTGTGTAGATGCTCCGCCTTGAGGTTATTCCGGCTTTGGGTGACGGAGTGCTCGAAGTTGAGTCGTACTGTGTGGGCGTCACGCGATGAGACATTGGAATTCTGCGCCTCAAGAGCTATTGCAGTGTAGACTTTCGTTCAGATACCGGGACTGCCTTTCATATGCAACCGTGAAACTTTCTATCACTTAGGGCGCAGAAGCGGGTGTGCCTCAGTGTTACTAAAGGGCCGTCAGCGTAATTTCTTCAGCATTAGGGATCAGATACTCACAACACATAGTCATCTAGACTGATCATGTCAGGTTCACTGAAGATCAGATAGAAGTATTTCAAGGTCTCTGCAGTCCAAAAGCTCTCCATATTATCGACGAGCTCCGACTTCTGCTTTGTTACGTCCTTGAGTGCCGCAAAGGCAATTTCAGTTTTGGTATGCTTTGTGATCGCTTGGAACATTTCCCAAGCTTTGTCTTGAAGCGTATCGTCTCCAGTGATGCGGTAGAGCACGAAGACGGACTCGATCGCTTCCGGTCGCAAAAGATAGCGGCTATCTGTAATCTCGCTGAATCCAGGCGCGAGGTTGTTCTGTTGGATTACTGTCTGTGCCTGTTCTGTGAACTCCTCGGGCACGTAGCCCCGATTAGCCTTCTCAACAACAGCACGATGCCATTCAGTCTCATTCCACGTGCAGTTCTCAGCTGATGATTGCTCGCATGGAAGTGCTGTGAAAACTTCTGGCATAATGCCCGAGGGCATACTTTCGTAGGCCCAAATGCAGCCGTCCACAAGTTCGCGAGCCGTCGTCATCTCCTCGTCTCGCTGGAAGATCTTCGCTGCCAAGCCCACCATACCTCCAGCGAAACAAGCGAGATGTTCTGCTTGAGGCAGCAGCTTGATATTTTTAGACGAGTATCTTTTCACAGTTCCCGGCAGAAGCATCTTAAGCCCGTCTGGATTCTGTGGGCGGAAAAAGATCTTTTGCTTGGCAGCCGCCAAAGCAGTCGAGTACATGTTTCGATATTGCTCCGTCTGGCCGGCCAACATTAAATGCTGTTTGGGTAAATACTCATAGAGACTATCGGCCATTCCACCAAGCGTGAAGGTGCTATCACGCTTGAAGTTGGCACCCTTGGCATCGACGAACGTCGGCCACAGGCCAGGTATTTTGGTTTCGTTCTGGGACGCTTCGAGCAGATTTGTAATCCTAGCGACTGCATCGTACCATTTCGGATTTCCAGTAAGCTGCGACAGGCGTGTGAACTCGAGAGTGAGAGATCCCACCTCGGCCAGTAAAGAGAACTTCTTCGCCTCTTGATCATTGCCCAGCACAGTCTGTTGCCATGCCCACCTAGTCACAGGCATACGATTTGGCGTATCAAAGGCCAGGTACAGCATGTCTCCCAGCTCAACAGCTTTTTGTAATAGTATTTTGTAATTGTGGCCACTGATATCGTAGGCACTCATCAGGCCACCCAGGTAGCGAATGGTGGTCTCGAACACATTGACCTCGTACTGGTCGGTAACAGCGAAGTCAAGATGCTTGATGGCCGACACAGCAGTCGCAAACTCCTTCTCCATGCCCATGATCCAGAGTGTGTCCAAGGTGTCCACCAAAGTCGCGCCCCAGCCTCCGAAAGGGTTACGGGCATGACCTGTCAAGGGCGAAACTTCATCAGATAGCCAGGCATTACGCTTGTAGCCCTGCCATGAATGATGAAAGGCATCTTCGACTGCTCTCAACCGTTTTCGCCGTTCCACCGCATGCTGAAGTTTTTCAGGCGCAAAATCGTGCTGGATCTGAGGTATTGTCACACTTGGCCCCGTGGGAAGCTCGGTGTACGTCTGCACGGGATGGTTCTGCTTCACATTCCGCCATTTGAACTTTGGCTTGAACAAGCCAGGATGGAGGACATCGTAGACCTCTCTCGATCGGAAATTCTTCGAAGGCGGCGGTGGGTGGCGGCGGTGGTGATGTTGTTCTGGTTCGACTAGAACATTGAAAAGGCCGACGAAGATGGCTATGGCCAAGATGGTTAAGCAGATGTAGCGACGAAGCGAAGGGAGCATGATAAGCGTCTCGGAGACGCTGTCAAGTGCGAAGGAATGAGTGGTTAGGAGCGTGAAAAGGAGGCATTTCTCGATTGAGGAGATACGAGATGACGCAGAAGGGAAAGATGGTATAGAAAGAGCGACTCGCCTACAGACGGTGCACCGGGAGGCGAAGGAAGAATAATGACATCGAGACACGCTGAAACGCAGGCCGCAGGGAGAAGGCCTCAGGTTGAGGGACGTGCTCGTTGACCGCTCTCAACGGGTGGGGGCCGACGGGGGATGGAGTCTCTATGTTTGCGCAGCGTTCTGAGCCTCTACACAGTCGCCATCGCCATGGAATTGTGCTGTGGATGTCGCTTTGAGCAGGTGCACGAGTTCGACCAGATGGTATCCGGGGTTGCGTCAGCCCACTTCACCCCTCGCCCCAGCTCAGCGGGCGTGAAGTGTGTGACGGAACCCTGGATAAGACGATGAAAGTACCTCCCTTGTACGCATTAGCCTGCCAAGCCCTAGCTCACCCTTGTTGCGCGAGCGGCTGCTTCCCGAACTTCCCGTCCTCCCCTGTCGCCCGTCACCAGCTTGAATTGTTGCCGCAGAACACGAAGCTGGAAACGAAGCCAAACACCACCATGCGATAGCAAAGTCGAGGCAGATTGGTTGCTGCAAACCAATGTGCAAGCCACGAACAGTCAATGCCTGATCTTTGGCCTTCATTGCCGCAATGCGCGGTCCTTGCGACGGCCCTGAAAGTCTTACTGTGGCCAGCATAGTACGCGTTTTCTGTCCTCTCCAAATCCACGTTTCTGACTGCGTCCCAGCAAGTCGACAGATTTTGAAGTGCATCGCAACTGGCTTGCCATCACGAACTCCCTGCCTCTTCGCGATTGGTATTTCGAGGTTGCATGCACGAAGACCACCCGCTTTCCCGTACACTAACATCTCACAGAACACTTCAGAATGGACCCTCGACTATCCTCCTTTCTTTGCGTATTTCGAATGGGCCATGTCACAAGTCGCCAGCCTCGTCGACCCAAACATGCTAATCGTCCAGAATCTGGGCTATGACAGCTGGCAGACCATCTACTTTCAACGCGCAACCGTAATCATTTCGGAAGCTGTCTTGATCGGTGGTGCATTGGCATTCTACATCAACTCAAGCCCTGCCATCTCGAGGCGTCAAAGTCATGCAGTCGCGCTGTCCATTCTGCTATCACCGGGTCTATTGATGATCGATCACATCCACTTTCAGTACAACGGTGCGATGTATGGCATCTTGATCCTCTCCCTAGTCCTGGCCCGACATCAACAAAGTCGCCTTCTGCTAAGCGGTGCGGTCTTCATGGCTCTTCTATGCATGAAGCATATCTATCTTTATCTGGCACCGGCGTACTTCATCTACCTACTGCGTGCATACTGCCTTGGCCCGAGATCGATCTTCGACATCAGAATATTCAACTGCGTCAAGCTGGGTGGCACCATTGCTGCCATTGTTGCAGCTGCATTCGGGCCCTTTGCGCGATATGGCTGGCAAGAACAGCTCCCGCAGATATTCAGCAGGCTCTTTCCCTTCAGCAGAGGCCTTTGCCATGCATACTGGGCGCCGAACGTCTGGGCTATGTACTCGTTCAGCGATCGAATTCTCATATACCTGGCACCACACCTTAAGCTGCCTGTAAATGCAGATGCTGTCAATAGTGTCACCAGAGGTCTGGTTGGTGATACAAACTTTGCAGTGCTCCCTGATATTCCGCCGAGACTTACATTTGTCCTCACACTTGCGGCGCAGATAGTAAGTACATCATCCCGTGATAGAAAGAAGGGTGCTGACTTGGCCAGCCCGCGCTCATCAAGCTGTTCTTCCATCCAACCTGGGACAACTTCGTTGCGACCATCACTCTTTGCGGATATGCTTCCTTTCTCTTTGGCTGGCATGTTCATGAGAAGGCAATTCTCCTGGTCATTATTCCTTTCAGCCTGCTTGCTCTGAAGGATCGGCGATGGCTTGGAGCATTTCGACCGCTTGCGGTCGCAGGTCACGTGAGCTTGTTTCCGCTGCTCTTCACCGCAATGGAGTTCCCTATCAAGGTGGTCTATACAATACTGTGGCTGATTGCCTTCCTGCTTGCCTTTGATCAATTGGCACCCGCGTAAGTATCGAGATCAAGTCGTGCAGATCTGCCCGGATCACAAGCTGACTTCATCTGCAGAGCCGAGAAGCCGCGAGTATTCCTCTTTGATCGCTTCACACTGCTGTACAATGCGATTGCCATACCGTTGATCGCATACTGCTCGCTGCTACATCAGTTGATATTCGGTGCTCGGTATGAATTCCTGCCGCTCATGTTCATCAGCTCCTATTCTGCTGTAGGAGTCGTGGGCAGCTGGATCGGGTTCTTGGTCGTCTTCTTCACCTCATGAATGTGATTGCTGGTCTGGCTCATGAAGCAGAACCATTTCAGGCGATGGATTTCGCAGCGCGACATGCGTATCGAGACCAAACCTGGGACCAGGGTGTTGACAAGATCTAGATCTTCAGCCATATCTAGTCGATGAGAGATGTGGTACTCAACTCGCAGCTCAATTCAGGGACTGGTCAACTTCAAATCTGGCCTTCTCGGGTTGTGGTCGCTGCAGGTCGCGATCTTGGCCAAGAGTGCAGCTCAAAATCCTGCGAGGTGGCCGCACCGCAGAAAAGGCAGAGGTATGGGAGAGGCGACAGCGATGTATATGTAGGCGGATGAGCAGAAAGCACATTCCAAAGACTACGCAATTCAGTTCTGACTCTGTTTAACTCTGTATTTACGGCAATCGATGTGTGGTAGCCAGAGATGCACATGCAAGCATTGTCTGCGTATTGTGGGTCGAGTCACGGAGATGCGACTGTTCAGAGTGGTAGCAATCGTGGAAAGCTGGAATGCGTTCAACCTGTTGGTGACGATGCAGGCAATGTGAAGTGAAGCGTAGCTGACTGCATTCTCCGCGTCGAGTGGATTAGAATGAGTGCAAATACGTGTGTTTTGAGCGCAAAGTGTGAAAAGACATGCTGGGCAGAAGTGATGGGGGTGAGCGAAGAGAAAGTTCAAGGTGTGAGGGCGACTCTGCTGCAAAGGCGGGCCGATCCAAGCCTCAATCCCAGGCGCTATGTCTTGCAGATTTACCTACGATGCCTCCTCCGCCGTGAACTTCAAATCCTTACTCTGTCCACCTCCCATTCCCGGCTCTCCCACCACCTCCCATTCCCACAACACGCCGCACACGACGCGTATCCGACCATAATCCATCAACAACGACACTTTCGACCATCGATCGACTTGCTCCGCATCCCTCCTCCACACCTCGCGGACCACTGCGCCTGCAGCTGTACACAACACGCGATTGCTTGAGCCGCGCCGTCAGGAACAGTCGCCTATCCGTGGCGAACTTCATCAAACGAAGTCTCCAACCACATTGCGCGTATTTGGACAGAACTATCGATCAACTCGACGGTGCCCCCGAAGGCCCCCGTTGCGCTGCCTCGGGGACCTAGACCCAGCCTTGGCTGGGCAGCTTAAAAGATGGTGCGCGAGCTACAAATTGAGTGCGAACACGCGACCAACACCCAGAAACAGGTCCTTAACAAGAGAAAGCCCGTCCATCTCATCCCCAGCGCCACCAATATACCAGATAATGCCGAAGTAAGCACAGCACGGGCACATGGTTAGACATACGCTGTTTTCTGACGCGCGTATACTAGGTCTATGTTATGAAAGGGACCAACGAGGTCTTTACCGACTATGAAAAGTACTTGAAGCGGTATGTATCGAATGCAGCGTTTCACTTGTGTCGTTGCGAGCTATTGCTAACATCACTCTCAGGTTCGACTGGCTTAACCAAGTGCGTCCTCCCACTTGCCAGATTGAATCACTCTTACTAACTGCGTGCAGAAAAAGTTCACAGATGCCGTCAATGGCAAGTCGGGCCTCACATTCTGGGACGCGCTGGAGTCTGAGGTTGGTTTTCACATGATTGCATGTGAAATTCGATGCTGACAATTTGCAGACTAAGAGCTCCGCCTCGATCGAAAATGTCTTCCCGGAAGTCCTTCGCGATCCGATACTGCGCAAGGTGCAGTTCTCGACGATCTCGCGTATGGACGAGCTTGGTACATGTCGTTCACCATATGCGTCATCTACAAGCTAACATGTCACAGTCAACACAATCTACGATGAGTTCAAGAGCGATTACTTTCCCGGCGAAGATGTCATGTGTACTCTGGACAACGGCGAGCAGTTTGAGGGCGCCATTCGCGAAAAAGCAAAGTTCCCAATGATCCGAGGCGCGGATGGCTCCGTGCAGCGAGAACCATTTTCGCGATACTTCATAAAAACACCCAATCCCTACGAAGAAGCACTTCTAGACGACAAGCATATTCGGAGAGATCGTAAGATCTTCACCAAGCAGAATCTTCGCGCTTTTCTCAAGAATTCATTGCAGCGAGAAGCTTGGACCGGCGCACCATGGCTCGTTAAGGAACATCTTGCAATACAATACCGGCTACCAATGGAAATCCCGCAGCACCTCTTCCAGGACGCGAAGCTATTACAGGCAAAGCCACAAGTAATGTCGATGCGTCCGCCGAAGCATAAGAAGCCAAAGGGCATGACCGCCGCGGAGTTCGAGCAGATGCGCCAACATGAAATCATGATGATGCAGCAGCAACAACAGCAGCAGCGAGGTGGTGCGCCTCATCAACCTCCTCTGAACTATCACCAGCAGCAGCAAATGGCGAACAGGATGGAACCTCGGCCTCCACCTCCACCAGTGATCAAGTATCCGATCGAGGACTTGGATTTGCCACCGAAACGCAACGGAACCACTCGTCCGGAGTTGAAGTTCTTCACCGATGAGATGACAGAATATGTTCGCGGCGGGCGAAACATTTACCTAGACGACATCGAGATGGAGTCTATGGGAATGCTTTTGGAAGTCTGGAACACATTGAACGTGCAATGTGAGGTATACGTGCTGGACAGCTTCACTTTTGACGACTTCGTGGATGCAATGCGGTATTCCGAGCTCGACGCACCTTGCGAGCTGTTTGAAGAGATTCACTGTTCCGTCTTGAAGCTGTTCATGGACGAAAAGGGTAGCAAGGTACTAGTGAAAGACATGCCAAAGAAGAAGATCGAAGAGCCACCCATGGACGACTCGGAGATGCAGGATGAAAGCGAGGTATCCACACCAGTCGCAGATGTTCCAGCTCGTTCGACGCGAAGCAGATTGAGCCACATCGAGAACGCAGCAGACATGCCTGGAAGCCCGAAAGCTGAGAACGCGAATCGCGCGGCAGAGATGCTCGCCGAGCGCGATTGGGAGGATCGTGTGGCGGCGAGAGACTTCGAAAATGGTGGCTGGCAGGTGATCGTGGTAGGCATCTTGCATCAGCTGTCTTCGAGCCCCGGTTTCAAAGCCAAGTGCGAGAAGATCCTCGCGCACCTCGCCCCTACGGACGCCGAACCAACCCAAGAGACCGCACGAGTCCAATACGCTTCGATGGACATCAACTTGCGCATAGCAGCGCTTCAGATGTTGACTATCATGACTGTGCGCACCGACAGGATCAAGGAGTTCCTCGAGACTTGCAGTGAGGACATGACCGAGGTAAGGAAGCGCAAGATTGAGTACCAGCGAGAGAAGAAGACTGCCATGGAGGAGCTTGCGGTCAAGGATCGCGAATACAAGATCCTTCTACCAGACAACATGCCGCCTTCACCTACGATCGAACCGGTCCAAGTGGACGCGGACGCCACCGAAGATTCCATCGAACTCAATGGCACGAGTAATAGTTCACCGGACACAGATGACGATGCGCCAATCGGCGGTAGGTTCCTACGACGTGGAAACGACCGCAAGCGCAAGCGTGAAGAGGAACAAGCGCGGCGCGACAAGGAGAGGGCGGAGAAGGCCGAAGCAGCGAAGAAGCAGACCAAAGAATCCAAAGCCTTCAACAAACTGAAGAAGGAAATTCAAGAATTGAAAGATCGCATCAACTCGTACGAAGAGAAGATTGCAGACTGCGATAGCGACCTGCGCGAGGCTAACGTCCAGCGTACCAAGGTTCTTGGCAAGGACAGATTCTGCAATCGCTACTACTGGTTCGAGCGCAATGGACAGCCATTTGGTGGCCTGCCAAACTCAAGTACAGCGTCATATGGATACGCCAATGGCCGTATCTGGGTTCAAGGTCCTGATGACATGGAGCGCGAAGGTTTCATCGATCGCACCAAAGAGGAGCAAGCCGAGTATCAAGCACGATTCCAGATGACCGTCCCACAGCGGCGAAGTCAGGAAGAAGGTGCCACCATCCTCAACAACGCGAACGAATGGGGCTTCTACGACGATCCCGATCGTCTCGACAACCTCATCGGCTGGCTCGATGACCGCGGCGAGCGCGAAAAGAAGCTACGCAAGGAACTCCTCGAGTGGCGCGACAAGATCGCACAGTACATGGAAGCCCACAAACGTTTCATGGACGAAGAAGCGGCCAAAAAAATCGACGTCGAAGAAGAAGCTCCGGCTCGAATCTCGACTCGTAAGAGAGAAGCCGAAGAGCATGCCGACTCACAACCCAGATGTCTCAAGTGGGCAAACACCATGGCCCTCAACGAACTGGGACACATTCACAGCCGTGCACCGCCTAAGAAGAAAGAGAAAAAGGCCCCTGCGGCCAGAGAGCTGAAGGGTCTGGCTGTGCCTTTGAATCGGAATGGTAAGCCTTCTACTAGGCAGGGTGAGAGGTATAGTTTCAAGTGAGTGAGGAAAGCACTTTGCGCTTTGTAGGTCTTACTAGATGAAGGAATGGAATGGAATGGCATGGCAAATTGTATATGGCTTGTTTTTTGCGAAAGAGTTGTGGTGCGGGCACTGCACTGCACTGCACTGCATGATGTCACGACGGTAAAGCGAGCGATATTGTCGGCTGGGTGCAAGGCATTTTCAAACGGCGCGTGGAGGGTACTTCTCTCTGTATGCATGGAGTGGAGTCAGGCTAGCTGGGAGAGCGGCTGGCTAGGTACCTTTATCATATGACATGGCATTAGAAAAAGTGTTATGTTGTTGTATCAGTTACCTACCTACCTACCACCGAAATTTTCACCCTCTTGTCAAGAAGAAGAAGACATGGAGGAAAGTTTCGAAAAATATTCCTGACCACTACATACATAACATGACATACATACACATTTACGAATTCGCATCATCGAAATATTTACTCGATTACGAAGTGTCGGCCTTACAACGTCACAGCTGCATTGTCCTGTCTCCCCTGCCCCATAAAAAAACGCTTCTGTTCCAAACATCTCTCACTCTTGCATCCGGGACATCTCAGACCCATCTGTTTACTACAAACCACGCCCGCTTTCAAATGCTCGCTTGCGAGATCCGCGAGCGCTTGGATGAACGTTGGACTTCCGTTCAAAGACTCACATCTCCTGACCCTTCCATCCGCGCCCAGCTCGTTCGCTTCATGGATTACTTCCAAATCTATCTCGTATAGTGTCTCGATGTGATCGGATGTGAAGGCGATGGGGATGAGGATGATGTCTTTTTGTCCTTTTTTTATCAGGTTTGGGACTGTTTCTGCGGTTTGGGCGCCTAGCCATGCGGAGGGGCCGACTTGGGATTGCCAGACTAGTCTGTAGGGGTTTTTGTGTCCCAAGCGTTGTTGGACGGCCCAGACGGTCGCTGCGACTTCGGAGGGGTAAGGGTCGCCGCGGTTGACGACGCTCATGGGGAGGGAATGGGCGGAGTAGAGGAGTACGACGCTGTCGCGGATGTCTTCGGGGTAGGTGGAGAGTTGTTTTGTTATGTTTTCGGCGAAGGCTTCGATGAGGCCTGGGTGGGTGGGCCAGCGGTCGATTACGCTCCATTGAATGCTGCCTTCGGATGGGGCTTCGGCGTTTCGCGTGGGTGATTCGAGGCGTTGACGCCATTTCCAGAGTTCGTTCAGGGAGGAACCTGTTGTGGAGCAGGAGTATTGTGGGTATTGCGTGAAGGCTACTGCTCTGCCGCCTTTGCCTTTGCCGAAACCGTCTTCCAAGAGTTTTGTGTACATTTCTTCGGTGAGAGGGTCGGCGTAGCGGAATGCAACGTATGGTTTGTGAGGTGCGGATTGTGGGTTGGTTTTGTCTAGAATCTTGCACATTTCTGCTGCTTGGTATTCGCTCCATTTTCTGATTGGACTTCCGCCGCCAATTTCTGCATATTGTTTCTTGATTTTTGGTGTTCTTCGCTTGCTGATCAATGGTCCAAGGTAGTTCTGTAGAGGTCCGAGGGGGATCAAATCGGCGTCGGCGAACAATCGAGACAGAAAGCTACCGACTTCATCTGTGGTCGATGGGCCGCCCATGTTCATCTGGGAAGAGTCAGTAGAACGGAAATTGTGCTGTAGACAGATTGATACATACGAACACCATTGCAGTTGGGCCATTCTTGCTCACAGAATCCTGGGTTACTGGCGGATTCTGTACGGTGGCCATACTGCGTTCTGCGTGCTGCCATATTCGCGGTTTGTGATGCGTCGCCTTGGGCTGGAGATTGAGACATTGCTGGGCGGTTGCTCGCCGCGTAAACGTCTTCCATGGCTGTTGGACGCTCATGGCTGAACGTGTTGTGGAAAAATGGTGAATGGAGAGAGAAGTGACAGCCAACGACTGCACACGATTCGAGCCAAATCCAGCCACAACGAGAGGTAAGCAGAGATCGATCGTCATGGACCACTTTGGTGCCGAGGCAGGGGTAGCCGTCCTGGAACATGGAACATGCCGAGCTGCCCCAAGCTCTCGGGTCGTTTGGGAAAGTGGCGCGGCGCGGCGCGTCTCCGTGAAAGTGGCGCGTCTGCCTGGCGTGTTTGTCCTGAGGCTGCAATGTTCGCATCGCGACTACGCCTCCATAAACGATAAACGATCTTGCCTCTAGAAATGCGGCGAGATCGGTCTTCAATGCCAATGACTGCGCGCTGATGACAGATCTGCCATACAGAATGTCAGACAACAAGTGGCGTAGTCCTGACGAGGACGAGGAGGAGGAGGAGGAGGAGATCGACGAGACTGGCTACAAAAGCCAGAAAGATGCTGTGCTGTTCGCCATCGATGCGAGCGCCAGCATGCTTAGAAAGCCATCTGAAATCGACGCAAAGAAGCCAGACACAGCTCTTTCGTCGACTGCTGCAGCACTGAAATGTGCCTACGCGTTGATGCAGCAACGCATCATCAGCAACCCAAACGATATGATGGGCATCTTACTCTTCAACACCGAGAAGAGCAAATTCCAGGAGCAAGACGGCGAATCTCGCAATTGGCAGTATCCTCACTGCTATCTGCTCATGGATCTGGATGTGCCAGCTGCAGCAGACGTGAAACAGCTACGAACCCTCGTCGAGGATGAGGAAGAAGCTGCGGACATCCTGCAGGCAAGCAAAGATGAAGTCAGTATGGCCAACGTGCTATTCTGCGCCAATCAGGTCTTCACCACGAAAGCGCCAAACTTCTCCTCTCGGCGATTGTTTCTGGTCACGGATAATGACTACCCACATGCATCGGATCGAGACGCCAGGAACAGCGCTGCCGTACGTGCCAAGGACCTTTACGACCTTGGAGTCACCATTGAGCTGTTTCCCATCTCTCATCCTGACCGTGGCTACACCTTCGACCGCACAAGGTTCTACAACGACATTATCTACTCATCAACTCCCTCCGACCCAGATGCACCAATGCCACTCACTTCCGATATCAAAGCTGCCAGCTCTTCCGCTAAGGACGGAATCACCTTGCTGCAGTCTTTGATCAATTCTGTGGCATCTCGAAACGCTCCGAGACGAACGTTCTTCAACGTCCCTTTCGAGATCGGACCAGGCCTCAAGATCGGCGTCAAAGGCTACATCATCTTCAAGAAACAAGAGCCGAAGCGCACGTCTTATGTCTACTTGCCACCCGACAGCGAAAAGGCGCAAATCGCGGTGGGAAGCAGCACCATGGTGGAAGAAGAAACTGCGCGCACCGTTGAGAAGACCGAAATTCGCAAGGCTTTCAAATTTGGCGGCGAGACGGTCACCTTCTCGCTCGAGGAGGAAGCAAAGATCAAAGACTTCGGCGACCCCACAATTCGCATACTCGGCTTCAAACCAATGAGCATGCTTCCTATGTGGGCTACGCTCGACAAGTCTGTCTTCATATATCCCTCCGAGGAGACCTGGGTGGGCTCGACAAGAGTCTTCTCTGCACTTCACCAGAAGTTGCTGAAAGATCAGAAGTTCGGCCTTGCGTGGTACATCGCTCGACGTAATGCCACACCAAAGCTCGCTGCTGTCATACCTGGCGCAGAGGAGCGAAACGAGGGAGGCGATCAACACATGCCTCCTGGAATGTGGGTCAAAGTATTACCTTTTGCTGACGACATTAGGGAGCCTCCAGAGACCAATGTGGTGAGAGCTCCTGACGATGTCGTGGACGCGATGCGGAAAGTTGTCCAACAGGTGAGTGCAGACTTCTCGATGTCCTTTGATTGCCGAGGTCTGTTTGACACCAATCTTGAATAGCTGCAACTCCCAAAGGGCGTATACGATCCCACAAAATATCCCAATCCCGCTCTCCAGTGGTTCTTCAAGATCTTGCAGGCTCTTGCTCTAGAAGAAGACCTTCCGGAGCAGCCGGAGGACAAGACCCTACCTCGTTACAAGCAGATCCACAAGCGTGCCGGGGGTTATGTCGTGGAATGGGGCGAGTTGCTCGACAAAGCTTTCGACGAATGGAACACTACGAACGAGAGCCGCATCAAGCCAGCCACAAATGGAGCGTCGAAGCGCACTGCCGCCTCATCCACAGCATCTCGTAGTAAGAAGGTGAAAGATGAGAACGACGACGACGATGAAGGCGTTACCGACGCCACCATGCGCGCTGCCTTCCAGAAGGGCAAGATCGAGAGTTTCAAACTCCCCGACTTGAAGCGTTGGATGAAGACCAAAGGTCTAAGCACAGGGGGTCGAAAAGCAGATCTCGTCGAACTGGTCACCAGCTATTTCGAGACCAAGATGGAGATCGACTGAATGAAGGCTTGGAGGATATCATGCGGAAAATCTGCATTGGAAAGGCGAGAAGCCTTCAGCTTGACCAATGCAAAGTTATACACAGAACGATGTCGACGAAGGATCTCGAAGCATGTCTCGGCATGTCTTCTGAACGAGCTTGCTGCAGAGTGGACGGGAATGGCATTCGATATGCCATTGACCAGAAGATGCGAGAAGCTTAATATCACTTAGGCAATACAGGAATTGGCCAGGCCCACAATCATGGAATGGAACATGTCTGTCGGGGAACATGCTCGGTTCAAGCTACTTTAAGACACCTTTGGCATCACAACGCTTTGTGAGCCGGAGACAAAGCTCAGAATCATGAAGTTACTAATTACACCAATAGTGACAACGAAGGAAACGTTACGGCTGGAGCGCAGTCGGGGACGAGATAGACGAGAAGGAGATCCATCATACAGTCATCTCATTGATTAACTTCCCGAGCGGAAGTTGACCAGTCTCAGCATACAGACTGCCCCGAGCCCGTTCTGGTGCGAGCCCCTCTGGTCCGGCTCTTATGGTTCTGACTTCCAAGCAGCCTTCGTAACAAAAATCCCCGGGTCCGCGACCATGTGGACGGTAGCCTTGAGATCTGCTCCTATTTGCATTTTTTCATGCTTATGGGCCAATCTGTACCTTACCAATTCTCATGCTTATAGCTGGCCCAAGGTCCAATCCTCGAATTTTTCATGCTCCTCATACCAATTCCTCAGGTCCAGGCTCTGATTGCCTTACCGTGGCGCTCGGCATGCGCGGTTGTAATTAGAATCCTGGGTTGTCTGTCTCCTTCTGCAATCCAGAGTAGCACAGCGCCATCTGTTGACCGTCCCAGTTAAAGCAAACCCACCTTACCGTCCAACACCACACCCCGCAACAATCCCCGCAACAATCGTAGCCACCACCGAAGCAATAAGCGCCACAGGCGGAACAAGACATCCCAACATCGCAAGACTCGTGAGCGTCGCAAAGATCCCTCCGGCAGGCGTAAAACCTCCATACGCCCAGCTTTGAAAAGCTGCAGCAGCAGAACCTGTAAGTCGTAGAACGTTAGATACGGTCGATACCAGGGACAGGGATATAGATGGGGTGAATGCCCTCCTACCTGCGATAAACCCCACTGGACCAAATCCAAGACTAAGTAGTAGGGCCGCTACGATGGTGAATGTTATTGCCCATGCGAGGATGACGATGTAGATATCTGGTGATGTTTGTATTAGCATCAAATCTGGATCTGGGCGGGCAGTTTTTTTACTTACGAGGCTGCGCCAACCAAGCTAGGAAGTTCGACCAGTTCTCGCTGATGAAGTGCCATGCGAGATTACGCTCTGAGATGAACTGGTTCAGGCCGCTGGTGAAGGTTTCTTGGTGGAGGAAGTTTGTGGTGGGGAGGATTAGAGTCAGTGGTGGTGGCATTGTAAGTGATGAGGTGGGTTTGATGGAACGACGTGCTCGTGCTTGGTGAGAGGTTGTGAGGTGGTTGTGTGTTGCGGATCGTTGGGAGGGACTCTTGTTCGGTGGAGTTATATCGCGCTTTGTTGCTGGCGCTATCGTTGTCGTGTCGGTGCGTTTTCTGGAACAACGTGCTCGTGCTTGTTGAGAGATGGAGAGGAGGTCGGGTGTCGCAGTCGCAGTCGCAGTCGCAGTCGCAGGTGTGTTTTGGTGCGTGTGGGATACGCGGGTCGCGCCAAGTGACGTAAAATTGTCCAGATGGCAACTGCGAGCACGCGACAAACACGCGTTATAACGATCAGCCTGGACGAAGATGGAAAATTTACGCGTGAAAAGATATCGTCGTTGCCATTCAGCGATGTTGCATGCAGGACCCCCTTACACGTCTTTACAATCCTTGGCTTGAATATGAAAATGGAAGACGAGGAATGATTGAGATGCAAAAGATGTGCAAAAAGGAGCTTTGGGGTTTGCTTCGCCCACGTAAGGCAGGTAGCTGTCGTTCTGCCGACCTTTGCGCTTCGTGATTCACTACGAGTCCGACATCTGCAAGATATCAACTTGATTCCATCTAGTCTTTTGCGCAAGTCGAGGAAGTGAGGTACCAAAAAATTCAACCAGTTCTAAAAGGTAGCCTCCGATGAAGACGCATATTGATCTCGACAAAGTTCGGCTCATTCTCAGGCGTCACAATGCCATGTCTGATGAAGAACTCAAGAATCACGGCAGCAGCATCAGGTTTGAATTCTCCATTCAACATGGCTCTGCCGACTTCTTCGACCGTCATGGAAGTGAAGCCACTCACTTCATCGTCGTGAGTCTTTGGGATGGTATCTGGCGGCAATTCGATATCGTAGACATACACGTAATCTGGACACACGAGGCCTTTTTCTCCAGGGAAGAGGGAGCCTGTTAGAGACATGTGTGATACCACGCCTCTGCATTTGGCGTGTTTCCGGATCAGGTGCTCGGGTAAGGATGCTTCTTCGTCGGACTCCTCGATTATGGTCTGCATGGGAGGGACGCCGGATTTGACTCCACCGGCAACGGTAGAGTCGAGCATGCCGGGGCAGATATAGAGATGAGGCGCTCTTCGTGGTATCCAGAGCCTGATTCCGTCGTCCGTCTGATTGTAGGCGACGAGATGTGCGCCGCGGGTCGTGATGCCGAAGAGAGGAGTGGCGAACCTTTCCAGTTTGACAGGAGAATCGTACCTCGCCCCGGCGATAGCGAAGGGCTCGCTATGCTGGCCATTGAGGATGTGGAAAAGCTTTTGATCAACTGCTTGGTCTATGACCTCCTGTAGGGCGTTGTTTACGGCTGTCGCAGTGTCGTTTCCGTTCGAGGTATCCAGGACGGTGATTGACCGGGGATGGTCATGCTTGACAACGAATTTGGAGGTCCATGGCATTTTGACCACGATCTCGGGAAGCATCAGTCCATGTGCTTGATCATCGTTGGGCAGATAGAGGCTGTAGTAGTCGTCTGCGGCCGGTCCATAGGGGAAGCTGCGACAGGATGAATCACCTGTCTCGTCCTTGAACATGCTAGAACTTACTCATCTGTAGCATGTATGACTGGGAGGAATGTTTGCTGCTCCATTGATGGCGATTTTCACTTCCCGACTTGTCGGAGACACCTGCTACAATTCTTCAGTCTCATAAAGCATGCAATGAATGACCTTGGACAGCAATCGAGTGACAGTAAAAAGGGAAGGAATAGATTCCGCGATGATGGTCTTTTTTTGGTGACGACATTGTCATTCGAGCACTTGACTATCTCTTGAGCAGTCAACGTGAACTCATAGCGACGCATGTCACAGCTCAGAGTCCATTCATCACTGGCAGAACACCACGTGAGCTGGAGAGCTGTCACAAGATCAAAGTCGTCTTCCGTGCAGACGTCACGGCTCAGATCATGCCTGCAACGACGTCTTTCTTCACGCATCCAGGCGGAGAATACCCATGTAGTCGACATGGTTGTCCGCAGGCCGGTGTCGCGCAGCGGCGGTTGACGGCGTGGGATTGGAGACGATTCAAGGGAGCCTTGATAAGAAGCCAGGCAATACCGAGAAACGTGATCTCGGCCAGAGGGTGTATAAGATGGGAGAATCGCAAGCTGGACTTACGGTGGCAATGCTTGTATTTCCTGTCAGAATGAAGCGTAGACAATCAGGACCAGTTGGTGTTATTCAAATTCGGAAAAGAGGAGGCCGGGCAAGGTGCAAGAGCGAAGGAACTGTGCATGTGGATTCCGCTGTGGTTGAAGTGTAAGCCGTGGGCATGATACAGTCGAGATCTCCCACAGTTCCGTCTCTGACACTACTTCTTCTTCCGCAGTTTCACAGAAGTCACCATGGACGCACGCATTGACCGCGATGCGCACTTGAAAGAGCTGAGATCCCAGTCGCGAGTGCCGAAGCAGACGTGGTACGAATGGTAAGCGTAAAGTCGTGCACTTCTTCCGCCGCGCCGTCACGGAGAAGCTGTTGTGCTGAGAGGCCGTCTCGCCAGGTTTTGGGGCATAAAGAAAGCTGTGCCTGCTCGAGCTACAGATGCTGCGACGTCGGAAGCAGTGCGTCGTGCCTTTATTCAGATGCTTGACCAAGTCGAGCCGCCAGACACCTTCAAGCCGTCCGAGGTTGCCTTGCAGTTGACGGACAAGGAGCTGGCAGCCCTAGGCTACGAGAAATGGGAAGAGGCGCTGCCTGGTGTATATGAATTGGCATTCGAGTCACGCGAGCTGGGAGACTGCGAGATCCTCAGGAAGGGCGTGGTGATTGGAGACGATGTGACGCTGGCGGACATTGACGGGCCTATCCGGATCAGGCGGGTGGTGATGTGAGGGAAGAAAGACGACTGGAGATGCATATGATACCCAATATTTGATGTTCACGATCTGCGGCACAGGTCAATGAGTATGGCAAGTGCATGAAGCATTGTTCCGCTGCTTCTGACGGACGCCCACACACCATGATAGACGGCCGAGAACTTGCGAGTATTACAACGCACACAACACATACATCCAACAGCTACCGTCTCAGGACGCGATGGAAACGTCTTGGCAAAGATTTATCCGTTTCCATGACCGGCAATGAAGCAATATCGAAGCACTACAGTAAGACGCAAGATCGACGCATGGTGGTTTGGAGCTTTCCGCGTGCTCAGCCCAGGAACCGAGAACCCAACAACTAGCAACTCACGCGAGACCTTGTTGCCTCGATGTTTTGGGAGGACACATTATCGAAGTAGTCTTGTCCCTGTCAGAAATGCATTTTATCCGCAACGAGTCTGCCAGAGAAGGAAAGCACTCCGCATGCGAGATGAGTCTGCAGTGGAACGTCGTCTCAGGTATATCAGACCCAGCGTTTGCGAAGAACGAACCAAAGTTCGATAGCTACCTGCAACAACCACGCGTAATGGATCTCTTGGCTTCTGTCAAGCGTACTACACCGCTTCGATGAACTGCATTTAAATGGCAACGAAATCCTAGTGACGGTAAGTCATACGACACGACATTCCTTTCAGTCACTCTCTCCACAATGTTTTCGTCTTCACTCATCGCACTAGCGCTGGCCGCCGTGCCTGCTCTTTCTCAATCCGTTTCCGGATCTCCTGAAGGCTTTGCCTCGGGCACAACTGGAGGCGCTGCCGGCGAGACAGTAACTCCAACCTCGATCGACGAGCTTACCAAGTACCTGACCGCCGCTGAGCCTCTCACCATCGTCCTCACCAAAACTTTCGATTACACCGGCAGCGAAGGCACAACCACCGAAACCGGCTGCGCACCCTGGGGCACCGCTTCAGGCTGTCAACAAGCAATCAACGCTAACGATTGGTGTGCCTCCTACCAATCCGACGCAGGCTCCATCCAAGTAACCTACGACGTCGCCGGAACCTCCGGGATCAAAGTCGCCAGCGACAAAACCCTCATCGGCAGCGGCAGCAGCGGAAAAATCAAAGGCAAAGGCCTCACCTTCCAAAACGGCGTCTCCAACATCATCCTCCAAAACATAGAAATCTCAGACCTCAACCCAAAATACGTTTGGGGCGGCGACGCCATCACTCTGAACGGCTGCAGGAACATCTGGATCGACCACGTAAAAATCTCACTTGTAGGCCGGCAAATGATCGTAGCAGGCTACGAAACCAACACAGGCATAACCATCTCGAATTCCGAATTCGACGGACAAACTTCATGGTCTGCATCTTGCGATGGGAATCATTACTGGAATTTATTTTTCGTCGGGGAGAATGATGAAATCACGTTTCAAAAAAACTATATCCATCATACTTCGGGTCGGGCGCCGAAACTTGGTGGTGGGACGTTATTCCACGCGGTGAATAATTTTTGGGCGGAGAATTCGGGGCATGCGTTTGAGGGGGAGGATGCGTTTTTGTTGCTTGAGGGGTGTGGGTTTGAGAATGTTGTGGCTCCACAGCAGGATTGGAGTGGTGCGGCGTATGTGCCGACTAGTGAGGATTCGGGTTGTCAGAGTGGGTTGGGGAGGAGTTGTGCGGCGACGACGTTTGTGAGTTCTGGAGAGTTTGAGGGGAGTGATGGTTCTGTTTTGAGTCGGTTTAAGGGGTTGGAGATTGCGGAGGCGGAGGCGGATGCTAGTGGTGTGCCGGCGAGTGCGGGCGTGGGAAAGTTGAGTGGGAGTAGGATGAATGGTACTACTTCTGGCAGGGTGAGGAGGGCGCATTGGGTGACGGGGTAGAAGAGGAGGTGTGGGGTGGAAGATGCGTGGCTTGTGGGGAGTGTAAAGTAGGAAACAAGAGCACGTTGTGAAGAGGTGAGACGATTATAGGTAGAGAAATGACGTTGCACTTGCTTGAGTTGACCAGTCAACTTTCCAGGACCGAGCATATACTAACTGCGTATACCACGTCCACACTACATTAACCACTCCACCCCAATCCTGCAGCACCTCCCGCTCTCAATCTATCCTAATATACATCAACATAAGAAAATGAGCAAGGTAAGGCATCATGCCACCACCGACCCTAAAACCAACTACTCCCCTCCCCTCTCCCCACCCTCTCCAAATCCTGCCACATCAACTTACTCACATTCTCCGCAACTCTCTTATCCCTCTCCAACTCCGCCTTCTCAGAAATGAGCCGATCAATCAAAGAATCTCGGTCACTGAGCGCCCGTTCTTTCACAGCGAGCTTCTCAGCCATATGACCTAATCTCTGACTCAATTCTCGACGCCGCAAGTCCATAGCACTCTCGAGATTTCTCAATCTGGAGGTGACGGCTTGGTTCTCGTAATTTTTGGTCTCGAGCTGGGTGCGGGCATGTTGGAGGTCTTTTTGGAGGGTGGTGCAGTGGGCTTGCCAGGCGGTGATGGTGTGGCTTTGGTGGTGGAGGAATGCTTCGGATTGGTGGCGTTGACGGAGAGCGTTGGAGGCTGGGAGGAAGAAGGGTTGGCCTTCAACTTGATCTCCTGTTACGACGAGGGCGTTTCTCCTGTTGAAGTTGATGGGGGCAGATGGGGGAGCATTTTCGATAGAGTGGTCTCCATCGTGGCAAGGAACTGGTGCTTCGGTAGAGGTGTTTCGACGAAGAAGTGGATGTATGTTCGATTGAGGTTCCTCAGTGGTCTTCTTATGGTCGAGCTTGGTGTGGTCCGAGTCGTCGACAACACTGTCTTGTCTGGAAGAGTATCTGGTATAGCTTGTGGCTGTCGTCGATTGAGATGTCCGTCGCGATGACAAGGCCTTGTCGCTGTACACGGACGAAGACCGTGTCGATGATGAGGCTGGCCGATCTTGGAGCAAAGGTGCGATGCCTTCATGGATAGTGTTGAGGTTGTCAGTATCGGCGATGGGGCAGGGCCAGGAGTTGTTTTCGATCTTTTCGATCTGCCTAACACCAGTCTGATCCCGATCGCTACGGTCAGATTGATGGGGCTGGCGCAATTTGCGGATACCCGCGGAGTCGAAAAGACTGCTGATGCGTTGTTTGGTCTTTTCCAACCGTGCTGGTAATGTTCTTCTGTTGTATTTCATCTTGAGCTGTAGTCGATGTTGGATTGCAAGTAAAGAGCGACTGATCGACGATTGTAGTTGAAAGCAACCCGATTGTCATATACATTCTCGATGCTTTCAACGCGATTCGGCTGAGCCGTTTGAGACCCTTTGTGTAGCCGTTTGGCGCGCGTGTTTTCCATTCTGGCTTTCCGCTCAAGCTTTCGACTCGCTGTACGTTTGTTTCATGTCCCGCTTTTGAAAGTTAACGTTCGAGACGCTCGGAAGAAGTATACGCCACTTCTTCCGTAGAGTGATTCGCCTACCAGTAATTAGTGTTGAAGTAGAGGGTGGTGGAAAAGGCACTGCATATGACTATGTGACAGTGCCCGCGAGACCGGTTCGCAGATCTTATCGTTCACATCCTGAAGACACCGAAGCGGGTGTCTTTAGGCTCAACGTTGCCTGTCATAGCCGCCTGAAGGCCCATTCCGAGTACCCTTCTGGTATGTGAAGGAGGTATTACACCGTCATCCCATAATCTCGCTGTGCCGAAGGTTGCCTCACTTTCCCTCTCGATCCTTTCCTTCAATTTAGGGTCAACTTTCTTTCCCACCGCAGCCATGACAGATGATAGTTGCTCGGCGCCCATCACGCTGGTCTTCGCAGAGGGCCAGCTCCATAAGAACCTTGGACTATACGCTCGCCCACACATGCCATAGTTTCCTGCTCCCGCGGAAGACCCAACCAGGACAGTGAACTTTGGAACGCTGGCGCAAGCAACAGCTGTAACTAACTTGGCACCATTCTTTGCAATGCCGCCCTTCTCAGCATCCTGCCCAACCATGAAACCGGAGATGTTCTGGAGGAAGATGAGTGGGATGTTGCGCTGACAGCAGAGTTGGATAAAGTGAGCACCCTTCAGACTGCTTTCGCTGAACAGAATTCCGTTGTTGGCAATGATGCCCACGGGATGACCGTAGATGGTGGCGAAGCCGGTGAGGAGCGTTGTTCCATAGGTAGGCTTGAACTCGGAGAACTCGCTGCCGTCGACGATGCGAGCAATCACTTCATGCATGTTTATGCTTTGCTTAAGGTTGGTCCCTACAACGCCGCCGAGCTCTTCAGCGTCATATAAAGGTTCCTGCCAACTCTCTTTCCGAGAAGGATTGCCTGTCCGTGGATAATTGAGATTCGCAATACTTCTTCTGGCTAAGACGAGGGCGTGGGCATCATCCTCGGCGAGATAGTCTGTCACGCCCGAGACTTCAGAGTGTAACTTGCCACCACCCAGATCTTCGGCACTCACTTCCTCGCCAGTGGCGGCCTTCACGAGTGGAGGTCCCGCCAGGAAGATGGTTCCTTGTTTCTTCACGATTATGCTCTCGTCGCTCATGCTAGGCACATAGGCGCCACCGGCCGTGCATGAACCCATAACAACGGCTATCTGAGGGATACCCTGCGAACTCATGTTGGCCTGATTGTAGAAGAGTCGTCCAAAGTGGTCTCTGTCGGGAAACACATCCGCCTGGTGTGGGAGATTGGCGCCTCCAGAATCCACCAAGTATATACAGGGAAGCCGATTCTGCTGAGCGATTTCCTGGGCTCTCACGTGCTTCTTGATGGTGATGGGGTAGTACGAGCCGCCTTTCACCGTCGCATCGTTGGCCAAAATCATACACATTACTCCCTCCACGGTGCCTATCCCGGTCACGATGCCTCCGCCTGGCACATGCTCACCGGGGTACAGATCGTGGCCGGCGAGGGCGCTGAGCTCCAAAAAGCTCGTGCCTGGATCGATCAGAGCGGTGATACGATCTCGCACGAGCATCTTGCCGCGCTCGACGTGCTTCTGCCTCGTCTGCTCTGAGCCTCCTTTGGCAGCAGCTTCATGAAGCGCCGTCAGCTTGGCCATATATTCGCCCATTGCCGTCGCATTTTCCTTGAACACATGGCTGTCGCAGTCAACGGCTGTCTGGATGATGGAGAGCTGTGCGGCCTGCGGGGGGCTCGTGTACGTTGCTGCTCGCCGTCGTTGATGGAGACATTGAATGGCGGCGGGGACTGGGCGTCGCCGCCGCGGAACATGGTGCCAAGCTCGTGCGAGGACGCGAGTTGGTAGAATGGTTGCCATAGCAGGGCTGGTGCAGGAGGTGGGAGGTGGGCATGCAGCACGCCTCACACGATGCTCACATGTTGGGACGCGACGCGCCCGCTCAAGGAATGCTCGTGATCGGCGCAAGGAGTTGGAGGAGCTGCCCCGGCTAGCAGCGGCTCTCCGTGTCTACGATGCGTCCATGTGCATTGCCCATTCATCAATTCCTCTAGGCCGTTCCAGTCGCCGTGAAGTCTTCCTCCGCTGCAATGCCTTCCGTACAGCCATGTAGAGCAGCGCTGCTGCAGTGCGTTCGATCGACACCCCGTCAGGCATCGAGACTGACGGTCTCGGCTCAACGGCAGCGACGACATGCCTCGACTCGGAAACATCCAAAAGGCTTCGAGCCTCCAACGCAATCCGAGCTAGAGCAATTGCGAGAACGAACAGTAGAGTTTGTACGGCGAGAGATCCCGCAAGATCTTGCCCAAGCCACCGATCACAAGAATGAATTTCCCCATGACATGTGGCAGAAGCTCGGCGAGGCTGGCTTCCTGGGCATCACAGCAGATGAAGGCTACGGGGGTTTGGCAATGGGCTACCAGGCGCACTGTGTTGTGCTGGAAGAGCTGAGTCGAGCGTCCGGCAGCATTGGCCTATCATACGCCGCGCACTCGCAGCTTTGCGTGAACCAGTTCCAGCTGCATGGCAACGACGAACAGAAGGCGCAATGGCTGCCGGGTCTCGTGTCCGGAGAGAAGATTGGGGCATTGGCTATGTCGGAACACACGGCAGGCAGTGATGTGGTCAGCATGAAGACGACGGCAAAGAAGGTCGATGGCGGATATCAGCTAAATGGCTCCAAGATGTGGATCACCAATGGACCAGATGCACATGTCATTGTTGTGTATGCGAAGACAGAGCCTGCAGCCGGCAGTAAGGGCATCACTGCGTTCCTTGTGGATACCACGACACCTGGATTCAGTGTGGCCCGTAAGCTTGACAAGCTTGGCATGAGAGGCAGTAACACTGGAGAGCTGCTTTTTGACGGTGTTTTCGTCCCGGAATCTGCCATGCTTGGTCCCCTCAATGGAGGCGTCAAAGTGTTGATGGAGGGTCTTGACCTGGAACGGCTGGTCCTCTCTGCTGGTCCGCTTGGCCTGATGAAGGCTGCCCTCGACGTCACACTACCATACGTGCATGAGCGGAAACAGTTCGGCATCCCACTGGCGCACAATCAATTCATACAGGGCAAGCTTGCGGACATGTATACCAAGTATCGCGCCAGCTCCGCCTTCACTTACTCTGTCGCACGTGCGATCGACGAGAACTTCGAAGCTCCAGAAATCAAGACTCAGGATTGTGCAGGAGCGATCATGTATGCATCTGAAAGAGCGACAGAATGTGGAATGGACGCAATTCAGTGCTTGGGCGGCATGGGATATATGAACGAAATGATCGCCGGACGCATCATGCGTGATGCAAAGCTGTATGAGATCGGTGCTGGAACGACTGAAGTCAGGAAGATTGTGATAGGCAGAGCTTTCAATAAGGAGTATGCATCATGAGAATGGTCATGATCAGTCGCCTCCGTGCGAGCGAGCGGCAATTTTGCGAACACATGCAAGACCCGCGTCTGCAGACTTTTTGTCTGGCATACCACTAGCATACCTTCGAGACATGCAGGACGCAGAAGCAACTAGCCATGGGTCGACATTGCAATACGGCTGCCGCTGAGACATGTGTGCCAAGATGCTCCACCAGCCTGCGATATCAGACATGAGGTCTCGGAATTTTTGTCCTTAAGCAAGCAGTCGTTGCCATTTCGGAGATCTCTAATTGTGCTCTTCGCTGATTAACCCTGTCCATCCGAAGGCGTCTGCGACTGACGCCGCTCATCAATTCAATGCTGGTCTCGTGCTTCTCTGGTTCCGACTCGCCATCACTCTCGACAATGGTCACTTCTTTCAAAAAAAGAATCTCGAGTGCTGAGATCATTGCCCGACCTTGCACACCCTTGTCGACCAAGTCTAAGAAATGTCATGACCGGGCTGCCACTCACAGCAATCCACGCAGCGATAGCAGACGAAGCCGAGCGGACTCGGCGATTGAAGTTAATCGCAATGCTTTTCAGCAGAACCAAAGCCTGAGCTGCATTGAAGGCCAAGCTGTCCATGAGGATCGGAGCCAACCGTGTCTGCGCGATAGTGTTAGCATTTACGAAGCTTTGCAAGACGATGTCCCACCTAGGCGGCCAGATACGCCGGCACACTTTGCGCTGCCACAGATAGGCAGCCCAGGCTCCACGCGTTCGTTTCGGAGCAAACAGGAAAAGCATGACCGCACCTCCAAGGACACAGATATGCTTCCACCCGAACAACTTCGTGGGTATGAGGATTGTGTTTCTGGCAATCCATACGAGGCTGATCGCCCAGCCCTGCTTCCCAAACACAAGTCCGCTCTTACTCGCATCGTCCACTCCCGACACCAGGTCCAGATCACGAAGCCTGACTCAAGTATTCCTTCTTCGCGACAAGCAACCCTTCAATCGCCGGACCGGGGAAAGCTGGTCGATGACCTGGAAGCATGCACAAGGGAACTCGGTGAAGCACAACATCGTCTCTCCAAGGCCGAGAAAGAAGTCACAACTCTGAAACAACAGCTTACATCTCAAGAGCAACATGTTCATCAGCTCAACGCTGATCTCACATGCAAAAGAGAGGGAATGAGGAAGACGGCAGAGCTATGCACAAGCATCAGCTCCGAGCTGCAAGACCTCAAATCCAATCAAAGCAAAGGCCCTCTCTCCCTAGCACGCCATCAACGCAAGGCGATTGAGAACCTGAAACTCGATAAGCGCGACCTCACCAAGAAGCTCACACAAGCACTGACCGACCTAAGTTCCATGGAATCAAGGTGGAAGAAAGCGCAATCTCAAGCAGCAGAAGCTTATTCCCACCTGAAGACTTGCGGACAGGAATGTCGTAACCTAAAGGCGTGGGTAAGAAAGCAAGATGCACGGCTTGAAGCACAAGACCTCGCCAACGAGGCCCTGACTCGTGAATCGGGGCTCAAACAAGCGGAATTACTCCAGGCCAAAACTGCGATGAAACATCTCCGTTCCGTCCAAGCCGAACTCAACGATACCAAAGCTTCTCTTCGCAACGTCAAAAGTTTACTTTCGCAAGAACGGCTCGCGAATCAACAAGTCTTGGCAGAACGTGATGCGGCCGAGGATGAAATTGGACTTCTGGAGCAACGGATGCGGGAGTGCAAGGTTTCGGAGGATGTGGAGAGGTATCGGGTTTCTCTTGAGGCTACGGAGAGGAATAATCGTGAGCTTGTGAGGGAGGTGGATGCTTTGAGGAAGAGGTTGAGTCGGGAGAGTCGTGATAGTGGTGTTGTTGTTTCTCCCAGGCTGAGGCTGAGGCCGTTGTGAGCGAATTACGCATGGTGGGATTTGGCTGGGAGGATGAATGGTAGGTATTGTTCTTCGGCTCTTAGCAGCACCCATTGATGAAGTCAAGCCATGCGGATTCTTTCTCGGCCAATCTCCAGGGAGAGCTGGAGCTGCAATCACTCCTGGGCGAAAGCAGAGCTACCTCGATGGTGCACATTAGAATCGCAAGAATTTGGAGCCTGCGTCTGCCGTGGCACGAGTCACAAACAGTTCGTGTGTAAGTAGAATCTACAGGGTGTAAACTGCATATACTATCCAGGAAGCCGACCGGTAGACCAAATTGCGAACCGTACCCTCTTCTCCTCCTTTCAATTTTCGAAATCTTGACTTGACTATATAGATACTAGCTGGCTGAATTCGAATTCCTAACAGATCTTGCTTCCCGCGGAAAGGAAGCGCTGTAAAGCGGCTTCTTGTATGGAGTTGACACCCTGTACCGCACACAACTCCAGGCGCCTCGAACTGGTAATTGTCTAGAAGACCAGACCAGACCAGACCAGCACCAATTGCCAGGTGACCTGGCCTGTACAAGGGCGTTCACATGAACTAGCCGGATCTTTGCTGCATGTACACCAGTTCTCTACCTCGCTATTACATCGTACGCTCTACAATGTGTCCACTTAACATGTTCATTTTCAAATCACATCCAGATTGTCGCAGCGGGTCGTGGAAAATTCTTCGGAGTATGTAGTAGGTCAAAACCGGATGCACTAACTTTGTACGACAACGTAACCTCGACTCGACTTCTCGATAAGCTTGTGACACTCCGAATACCTGATCTTGGGCACATTGGAACATTGATAGAAGGCAATGATAAGTCGGCCTGTAGTCGCTCGTTTGACTGCTGGTACGTTTCTCCTCTCGTGATAATGTTGCTGTCCTAGCTTGCACATGTAATGCTGGCACTACACTGTCCTTTTCGTCGGCTTTGCATGTGAAAGACACTGATTTGATGGCGCCACGCATGAAAGTCACTGGTTCGATGGCGCGGCGTGTACGTGGAGCGTTGCGTTGCCAAGTAAGTGTCAGACTCCTCCAGCTACTGTACCGTATTCTGGAGAGAGACGAAATGCGACTCGAGCTGATAGACTCACGCTGCTGCCCGAGAGGCGCGTTTCGCTGCACGCCGAATGGTCCCACCACTTCTCCCCAGCATCCCAACACAGCGGTCGGCCCTGTGTAGAATATGTAAGGATTGATGATGGCGTTCTCTCTGTAGGAGAGCGAAGATCCAGGCACGCATGTGAAAAGTACAGGATCCGAGGAAAGGCCCAGCGGTCGGGAGAGAAAGAGGCTGTTTCTCGAAGGCTTCTGGTGTGGCAGTGGCACTTTGCAGATCAGGAACAGGAACTGAAGTCTGAGAGGCTGGTGGGAGCTCATCCGGGCGGGCCGGTGCGGTAGCTCGTAGCCTCTGAGCGTCGATTGGACCGGCTCAACTCGCGGCACATCCACGTTCGCTGCTCGCTGCTATCCACGTCGCGGCGTGGCGTGGGCGTGCGTTGGCGGGCGGTCGATAGGAGCCCAGTATTTGCTTTGCTGGCATGCTCTGAACTCTGAACGTGACTTGACTGGGGCCGCACGCGCAACCGCAACCGCAGTCGCAGTCACCCTTCCACGCGCATGAAACGCTGTTTGCGCGCACTTTAACATGGCCGACTGTTCGTCCTCCTCCTCGCTCTCGCCCACGCGACCACCTCCACAACCCGCTGCCCCCAAAAGTCCGCCTCTCGCCTTCGAGAAGACTCCCAACGACGCTCTCGTGCCGCCTGTCGCACCTCCACCGCATGCCGCTGAACTGCCCAAGTCTCCCTCGGCAGCCATGGGTCGCCTCAGTCCGCTATCCGAAAGTCCCTTGGACTTGCAAGCGATTATCGAGAAACAAGCCGAGGCAATCAAGCATCTACACATAGCCTTCGCGGTGGAGAGGGAGTCGTGGGAGTTGGAGCGCAAGAGCTTCTACAACCGCATTGCCAGTCTTGAACAGCTACTCAAGAATGGCGAGCACCATAGGTCAGCAAGACTTGTCGCAAGTCCCTCGCCGCCACTGACAATGAGCAGCCCGGCCAAATCGCCTATTCTTTCGCCGTTGAACGGATCCGCCATTGTATCACCGCAGGCGAGACCAGCACACGCGACATTCTCCTTACCTACCATTGCTGAGCATGAAAATATCTCGCCGTTGGCAGCAAGGCGGGATGGCGCCCCACAAACGATAGAGCTTCCAACGATGCGTGCGCGGCCCGTTGAGCACGAAAGGCCAAGACAAAGCGCAGTCAATTTTATGAATGCGGAAGGTATCAAGGTTGAGGAAATCCCTCCCGCCAAGAGCTCGCATGGCCTTTCACCTCCTCCGCCCATGAACCGCCACATGGCAGGCCATACGCCCATCAAAGCTCCCAGGCCGCCAACTCCTCCGCCACAAAACATGTCCATGGATGGCATCGAGGATACTCCGACTCGCCACAATACGCACATCAACACACTCCTTACCCAGCACAGTGACGACGACGAAGACGATATGCCATTGAAAGGACCTCTCCATCTGCCAGAATTGCCTCACCAACCGGATGCCACCAACTTCACACTTGATGCTTTGACGCACCGGTTAGAACACATCGAAAAGCATCCCGATGCGGACGATGCAAGGCCCACGGTGTATAGTCGTCCTACTCCTGGCGTTGGTTCGCCTGCGAACGAAGTCGAGAACAAGGCTAGTGATGAGACCAGCCCGAGTACGAAGGCAAAGCTAGACGAAGCGCCCTTCGCACCTGTTGGAACCATGGCTTCCGACATCCCACCACAGTCTCATACCTCCGACATCGGTTCCAAGCTGGCCTCACCCGACGGCCATCCCTTATCGCCACAAGAAGCGCACGAAGCGAAAGTCCACCAAGATTTCGAGCAAGGCGGCATTCGTCTGAAGAAGAAAACGAGCACGAATTTTGGTGCACCTTTTGGATCCCTAGCAGGATTTCCACTCAGTCGGAAACTGTCTCATGAACCTTGAGACGGACGGATGGCGTTCATTCATTCTTTTTTTTTGTCTCTTGCATTTCAATTAGGTGTTTATAGGTGGATGGGAAAGAAAGATACCCTGAACAATGATAGGCACGAAAAAGCCTCTTTAGAGCAAGGAAAGGAAAGGAAAAAGGAGGAAAAAGGACCTGACCTACCTGTTTTAGACAGATGTCTGTACTGCACAGATGAGTTGCGTATTCGATCATTTCGATAGTAGCTGGAAGGATAAAGCAAGAAAGAATGCTCGATGCATTACTAGCCTTCAGCACCTCATGCTCAAAACTTATGAGATCTGGTCTCATGGTCGTTTTGAAAAATCCGAGGAATGCCATTCCCTTGCTTCACATGCTGCAACCTCTTTACGCGTGCCCACATTCCCCATGCGCGTCAAGCATACATACAACTCACAAGGCCCGCCACCACCCGCCACCCCTTTGACAGTTTGCACACCTATACGGATATACCTGCGTCGATGGGTTGGGTTGGGTTGGGTTGGGTGGAGCTGAGCTTCGAAGGGATTATATTCTTTCTTTCTTTCTTTCCTTCCTTCCTCATCCTAGCCATCGCTGCCATACATTCGCTCACACAAAAAAAAAACCCCCCATCAAAAACGACAAAAAAAACAACAACATGCGCCTTATTACAATCTTCTTCACCTTCTCAACAGTTCTCGCAACCCCCCTCCCAGCTTCAACCATGAACGAAATCGAACAAAGCTGGGCAGCAGGATTTTCCGAAGTATCTCTCCCCCTCCCCCCCAACCCTCTTCCTATCCCCATTCTTAATATTAACGCTGTTTTCAGAAACAAATCCACCCCGGCCTCTCCCACCGCGACATGACACCGGCATGGCCCGTAACTCGGTCAGAAGAGAATTCGTATTTTGCTTCGGCTACGGATCAGAGGAGTTTGGAAGTTGCTGAGAAGCGGAGGGGACAGAAGAGACAAGGAAAGGTGAAAGGGTTTGTTTCGAAGATTTGGAGGGGGGAGAGGGGGGGATATGATGGGAATGTTCCTGTGCTGAGGCCGAGGAAGGTGAGGTATTATTTTACGAGTCCGGAGGCGTGATGGGATGATGAGGGGTGGAGGGGGGGGGGGGGGGGGG